TAGTGGAAGTGATGAAAAGTAGTGGATTCTGGGAATATTTGGAAGGTAGACAGATTGGATAGGATATGAGGTATGAATGAAAAGAGAAGTCAAGGGTGACCCCCCAGGGCTTGACTTGAGCAACTGGAAGGTTAGAATTGCCATTCACTAAGATAGGGAAGACTAAGAGGTTTGGGGACAAGAGCAGATGTTCAGTATTAGAATAAGTTCTGAGCTGTGTCTATTAGATATCCAGTATAGATATTGAGCAAGCAGCTGGATATGTAAGTCTGGACTTCGGGAGGAAGGTCTGAGCTAGAGGTAGACATTTGGAAATCATTAGCATATTGTTGCTGTTAGGGGCTATCGACTTGACTCCAACTCATAGTGACCCTATGCACAAAACAAAACACTGCCCGGTCCTGGGCCAACCTCACCCTTGAGCCCATTGCCTCTACCACTGTGCCAATTCATCTCTTCCTCTTTTTCTCTGATCCTCCACTCTACCAAGCATGATATCTTTCTCCAGGGACTGGCCACTCCTGATAATATGTCTGAAGTATGAGAGACAAATTCTCAACATCCTGACTTATAAGGAGCATTCTGACTGTACTTTTTCCAAAACAGATTTGGTTGTTCTTCTGGCAGTCCATGGTACTTTTAATATTCTTCAACCCCATTAATTCAAAGGCATCACTTCTTCTGCAGTCCTCCATATTCATTGTCCAACTTTCACATGAATATAAGGCTACTGAAAAAACCGTGGCTTGGGTCAGGCTCACCTTAATCCTCACAGTGACATCTTTGCTCTTCAACCTTTGAAGAAGTCTTGTGTGTCAGATTTGCCTAATGCAATGTACCATTTGATTTCTTTTTTCTTTTTAAAATGTTTTATTGTGAATTATGTGATAGTTTACATGGGAGAACATTAGCTTTACATTCATCCTCTCGTATGTATATCGTTTCATTGCCATGGTTACAATCCCCTCCATGCATCATCAACCAACCAACCAACCAACCATTTGATTTCTTGACTGCTGCTTCCATGAGTGTTGATAACGGATCCAAGCAAAATGAAGTCTGACAACTTCAATCTTTGCTCCATTTATCATGATGTCATTTTTGGTCCAGTGGTGAGGATTTAAAAAAAAAATGTTTTATTGTGAATTATGTGATAGATTACATGGGAGAACATTAGCTTTACATTCATCCTATTGTATATCATTACATTGCCTTGGTTACAATCCATCCTCTTCATGCATCATCAAAGTGGTGAGGATTTTCGTTTTCTTTACATTGAGGTACAATCCATAGATGGTATTTAAAGTTATGGTATGAAGTTGTATTAAAGCATTGACTAACCCTTTGGTTGGTTGATGATGCATGGAGGGGATTGTAACCATGGCAATGAAACGATATATGATAGGATGAATGTAAAACTAATGTTCTCCCAAGTAAACTATCACATAATTCACAGTAAAGCATTAAAAAAAAAAGTCTTGACTAAACGAGACCATCAAGAATTAAAAGGGAACAAGCCCTAGAATACCCCTAAAGAAGAGATTGGTAGAAAGAGGAAAAACCAGCAAAGGAGACCGAAAAGGAGCAATCAAGGAGGTAGAGGTAAAACCAAGAGAATATGAAATCTTAGAAGGTAGAATATCATGGAAGAAGGAGTGATTATTTGTGCCAACTGCTGCTGATTGGTCATGTTAAATGCAGACAAAAAAAAAGTGACCCTTGGAATTGGCATTGTGCAGTTCAGTGTTTACTTTGATAAGAGTAGTGTTGATGGAGCAAACCTAATGGAAGTGGATTTAAGAAAGAATGAAAAGAAAAGAATTGGAATCAGTGATTATAGATAACTCTGTTGCAAAATTAAGACATGGTTCCTAGTCCTAAGAATGTAGAATTTGGGGGAATAATGGGAATCAACATGTTATTAAACTTAACCAAATAAAATAGACCAGCCAATAGTACAATTCTGTGCAGTGTGACAGATTATAGTGGGTACAGGATATGTGAGTAGGTAAGGCAGCCATGATCTAAGAGATTTGGCCATCACTGGTGCCCAAATGGATGGACAAGATAACAGGCAGACAAAGGGCAAGAGAGAGGATGGTATGGGTGACACCAAGTGAAGAACCAGAAGCAGAATGGGCCAGTAGATAAAGTGGCTGGCATGACTTGAGTAGAAGTAGATGTTATAGGTAATCATGAAGAACAGCTGAATGTATGCATGATTCAACGTGCCAACGAATGGCCTCATTAGGAAGAACTTTGTTTTCTTTATTTAAGTGCTAGCTTTTTTTTTTTTTTGAGGGCTGGGATTATAGTGATAAAAAAGCGTGTTTAGAAAAGTTTGGAAATTAGTTTATTAGTCAAGGAAGTATCTCAAGACACTTGCACTATTTCTCAAAGTGTACTCTGGGGATGACCTCATCAAAATCTCCAGGGTTTCCTTATTAAAAATGCAGAAAGATGCAAACTAACCTCTGAATGCACATCTCTGGGGGTGGACTCTGAATTCTGTTTACTTAACAAGCTCCCAAGGTGACTTTTATACATACTAAAATCTGATCTGCTTGCCTAAAGGTTTGGTTTGGGCACCTTATCTTCCTGGTTGCCAAGATCTCCAAAACACTAAAATTAGGTTAAAACATGGTGGGTTAAACATGCAGAAGTGTATACATAACGTTGTTGTTGTTGTTAATTGCCGTTGAGTCGGTTCCGACCCATAGTGACCCTGTATAGGGTTTTCAAAGAGTGACTGGTTGAACCACCAACCTTGTAGTTCAAATGGCGTTGCAGTCTGGCGCATTAACCCACAGCGCCACACCAGGACTCCGTACATGACATATTGTTGTTGTTGTTGTTAAGTGCCGTCGAGTCGGTTCCGACCCATAGCGACCCTGTACAGGGTTTCCGAGGGTGTAAATCTTTATGGGAGTAGAAAGCCTCATCTTTCTCCCGCGGAGCAGCTGGTAGTTTCGAACCGCTGACCTTAAGGTTTGCAGCCTGATTCGTAACCACTACGCTACCAGAGCTTGACATATATACTTATAAATTTATGTAAGTTCTAAGAAAACTTTGCAGCAGTATCCATTTGGCCTGAGGTTAGACCTCAGTTCAGTTGGTTCATTGATGTTATTTCAAGCGTTTGTAAAAGTTATGAATCTTTCATGAGGGAACTACCAAATCTGTTATTTACAGATCGAATCATGTGTTAGAGAAGATGATAGCCCAGGTAGAGTTGCCCCCTGCTCTATATGAAGTCTATTTGAGGCCTGGGAAACTCAAAACTAAGACAACAAAGCATTTTGTTCTTTTTTGCTCTGGGTTGATAACTGAACTCTTGACAGGCTCAAGTCCACCAAGAAGTGCGTTGAAAGAAAGATCTAATGATTACTTCTGAAAAAGCAGCCATTGAAAACCCTGTAGAGCACAGTACTATTCTGACAGACTCCAGGTCGCCATGACTTGGAATCCACTCAATGACAACTAGTTCCCTGGGGCTAGCTTCCCAAGTGGCTGTTCTTCAACTCCAATGAGGACTCAAGCTGGGAATCTTGGAACCTGCTTTGTCCACTCTGTTTCCCTGATCAATCAGGAAATGACCAGAGAAATAGTGTTTCCTGCCTTTGCAAATCAGAAAAACTTGTTTGTGTATATGTTTTTGTTTTCCTTATCACTTTTTAGCAAGCTTTTTCCAGAAGGAATTTCAGCATAGAAGTGTAAATGAGGACCCCTCTCCTTAGAGTTGTATCAGAGAAGTGATGGATATGGTTTATTTTACTGTGCACCTCCTTAGTGTGAGGATTTTATTATTACTATTATTGAAGATTGCCCTTAGTGTCTACTATTTGTCACTAAGTCCCCCTTTCACTGGCTTATCTCAGCAGGGATGCTTCTGCTGATAGACCATCAGTTGGTAACTTTCAAGTCTAGAGTTTGAATCCTATTTTCTGTCTTCCAAACTACTCTGTTCAATCATAGAATTCTAAGCACAAATTCTATTCTATACAGATCTTATAACCCTTCCTTCAAATATTTATTGAGTGCGTGGTAATGTACAAAGTATATTGGTGATGGTGTTGTGCCATGGAGTCAGTTCTGACTCATAATAGCAACACTGCACAGGGTTTCCGAGGCTGTAAGTCTTTATGGGAGCAAAAGCCTCATCTTTTTCCCATGGAACTGCTGGTACTTTCGAACTGCTGACCTTGAGGTTAGCAGCCTGACACATAACCACTATACTACCAAATCTCCTTTAAGTGTTATATTGTTGTTGTTGTTAAGTGCTGTTGAGTCGGTTCCCACCCATAGTGACCCTGTATAGGATTTCTGAGGAGCGACTGGTGAGCTTGAACCGCCGACCTTGCAGTTCAAACAGCTTTGCAGTCTGGCGCATTAACCCACAGTGCATATTAGGCATCAGTTAATAAGATTAGTTCTTGCTCTTGGAAAATAGATCTTGGTTTCTTATAGTCCAGATGAACAGTGCTATGAACAAGGCAGGTCTAATAATAATTTTTGGAGCATTTGAAAGGGAAAAGTTAATTTTGTCCTTGAGGGGAGGTAGGAGGAGGATACTGGGGGACTCAGAAGAGATATGGCCCTGAAGGAAGGAAGATGATTGGTGAAAGGGGAAGATGGCACCCACAACAAGGACTAGCTACTTGTCCTTTGTTTTGATATGAGTAGAGTATTGTGACTATTGACTAGCCTTGTGATTAGAAAACAAATCTTTAATGTACTATGAGCAAGTTGGTTTATAACATTTGTTTGGGGTAAATTTTCTCAGTGCTCCCTCGAACATGAAGAGAACACAAAATATTTTAGTAAGCTGAGAAACATTCTCAGTGTATAGACTTAGAACCTTAATAAGCAGACATTTGAATTCTTGGGAGAGTTTATGTTTCTGTCTCAAGACCATGATATTCCTTTTGTAGGTTTTTATATGCATAATATGTGGAAGATTATTTGTGTAATGTTATAACTCTCATTTCTCTTCCATTTAGCTATGGCTACATAAGTTACAAACTTCGATTTTTTGCTAAACTAATCACAGACAAAGGTGTCCATCTGGACAGGATGTTCGTGGTTTCATATTTTCTCAGTGATAACACGATGTCAGTGTTTGAACTTACAGAGAAAAATTCAGGTAAGAGACATACCTCTCATGGGATTTTGTTTAGGACATTTAATATATAAAGTGATCAAACAGGGAGTTTGTGTTGGCTCCTGGCTGGAGAACTCCGAGCATCTACTTCCCCTAACTGTGAGGTACCACTGATGGCTTCCAAGGGCTTCAAAATCATGACCTGGCTGCCACCAGTTCTACCCGCAGCCAGCAAGACCAGAGGAAATCTGTATTCTTGATAGTCCTGCTTGTAATAACTTATATTTTTGCTTGAAGAAAGACCAGAGTTCCAAATAAACACATTTAATCTTAGAGGGCTCATCTTCCTTCAACCCTTCAATCTGCTGAGGCCTTTGCCAAGGTTCTAGCACACAGGCTTACACTATGCCTCTCTGCAGTACCATGGCGGTGCCTGAGGGGAGCCATGGAGTTTTCACTGTTCTTTGTCCTGACCTATTTAGTGCTAATGTGTGCTGAATACACAAATTGGGAAGAATAATCAGTGGTGTACTCTCTGACGAAAGAGAAGAGAAAGAGGGGAAAACAAAGAAAAGCCCTGCTTTAGAACATTTGCCATTTTTCATGGTATTAAACCTCAATCATGGCCACTTTTCAAGCTACCAACACAACAGTTTTACAACCAGTGTTTAAAATCCCTGAAAATTTATCAACTCTCATGAGCTGGTCTGAGTCATTCAGCCCACCAATCATTTGTATAACTAAGTCAGTCTCCACAGTGATTTATATAATGGATCAAATATTAAAATATGAAATTGAGTCGACATGAATCTAAAGTCATGTTCTGAAAGGTCAAGAAAAATAAACTGTAAAATAAATCTAGAATGGGGTGATGTGGCCAAGTAAATTGACACAAAGAGCGATGGTAGTCATCTATGAGCTTTGTAGTAATAACAGCAGTTATTACTGAGTCTCTACGATTCGCCTTATAAGAACTTTATGAGGTTAAATTTTGTGTTAGTCCAGATCCTCTGAGAAGCAAATGCCAAGATGGAATTAAATATGCAAGACATTTCTGGAGGAAAATGCCAGTGAGGGCAATAAACTGCAGTGCAGAACTGACTCCTGAGAAGGACAGAGGGAAGGAAGGATGGAGAAGGGCTGACACTGTGGGGAAATTTGAAGAAAGTTTTAGCAAGGCTGATGGGCTGTGTAAGAACCCAGAGTCACTGGTTGAAGGGGCCCCTATTGTGGAGGAATGGGCCTGCCTTCTCATCCCTGCCTTGCTCAGTCATTTGTTGTCAGCAGCCTATGGAAAATAGGACCCTGTGTAAACCTGGGCATGGATTTCAGAATGCAGCAATTGGAACTTTCTGACAGTTCTATTCCCTAAGCAATCTGAGAGATGAAGCTTCACGAACCCCACAAGTTTGATTCCCATTTTACCAATGAGAGCTTAAAGGTTCAGAGACATCAAATAATTCCTAAAGATTGTCCAATAAGCAAATGCCAGAGGCAGGGTGATATCCATCACTAGTATTTGGTTCGAGAACCTATGCCATGCTGCCATCTTTGTTTTATGAATGTGTTAGGAGGATCCTGGAGCCCTGTGTTTAACTCAGGAGGTCAGAAAACAATACCAGGAAGAAAGAAGAAGCATTGTAGGATAAGCACTGGACTGCTAACCGCAAGGTCAGTGCCTCAAACCCACCAGCTGCTCCTCAGAAACACAGCATACAGCTTTGCATCGGAACTGACTTGAGGACACTTGACAACAACAGAAAACAGATGAAATGGTGAATTTTTTGGAACGTAAGAAATCTGAGGCATTCCTAAAAGAAGGAAAGATAATTTACTTACAGGGGGAGGGAGAAAGACTTCAGGGGACTCCCATAGTTGTCTTCAAATACTTAAGAAGCTCCTTTACATAAGTCGGATAAGCACTGGACTGCTAGCCTCAAGGTTAGAGGTACAAACCCACCCAGCCACTCTGCGAGAGAAAGATGAGGCCCATCTGTTGATGTAAAGATTTACAGTCACTGAAACCACCCTATTTAGGGTCAGTATGAGTTAGCCTCAACTTGATGGCAGTGAGTTTGGTTTGAGCTTTGGTTTTACAGAAGTAGGGCATTTTCAGTTTAATCTGCCTGTCAGATTAAGTACAAGACATCATCTGGAACAAATAAGTGGAAGTAAGCTCAAGTGAAGAAATTTCTAACTGGTTCTGTTCAAACTTTCTCTATAGATGTGTGTCTTCCCAAAGTTCCACATCACCAGTCCACTGCTGGGCTTAGAGCAGGTAGCTGATAAGTGTTTATTGGATTTGGAAAAGAGGAAGGAAGGAGAGGAAAGAAAAGACTGAAATACCATACCATGTTTCTCCTTTAACACACTCCCCTAGGAAGTCTTATTTCTTTACCCACTGCCTCATTCTTCCCTGAAGTCTGAGAATGAGAGGCAGGTTGTACAACCTGATGAATGTAGTTAATGTCACTGAATCGTATATGTAAAAAAGGTTGAAATAGCAAACGTTTTGGTATATGTATGTACAAGGGAACTTCAAAAAGTTCATGGAAAAATGGAATTACGAGATAATGGAATGTTTTTCACAAACTTTTTAAAGCCCGCTCATATAAACTTAACACAATTAAAATAATTTTTAAAAAAGAATCACAGGTAGTATGGGTTCACAGATAAGTTGTGCAGTCTTTGTCTGAGGATGACCTCAGACAAAGGCAACTCATGCTATTTTCTTAAAATTAAAGGCTACTCGTTAACTTTTGTCTTGATAGGAATGAATGGTGGGAGATTTTTACGAAGACTTCGCGTCAAGAGACCTGGACAAGACATCTTTAAAAGTGAACTATCAGAATACATCCAGCCCGAGGAGCTATATATTGGAGCCAGAATCAATGTGAATGGTTACGTATTCCATTTACTCAATGCTGATGAATATACCTTAAACTACATGGAGAATAATGTAGATAAGGTAAAGTTACTTCGTTGAATTCTCCACTTGCTGCACAATACTGTGAGCTCTTTATTTTCCTTCCGCCAGTGCCTTTTCTTCTTCATCCTGCTACTGGTCTTACATTGTGCATTCACACATGAATAATGGATCAGCACAACTTGGTCCTGGGCCCTGTCTACTCTGTTTACACGTTGGGTTCTCCACTGCCCAGCATCAAGGATTCCAGGCACAGGCAGGAGGCAGGCCCCACATTGAATCAAGTTTCCTGGGTTTTCTGCTGACGCTGACAATGTGTTCAGAAAGAAATTTAGCGACTATAGGAGAGGAAGAAAATCTGGTGACACACACTGTGCCATCCCAGTTAATTGGCACAGACCAACCGAGAAGGCTCAGACCTGAACAAACAGAAGTCCCAATGGGACCCCATAGTGCTGTGGTTGCAACTTCCTTTAACAGAAGCCACCTGAGTTCTAACTAAGACTTCAAGGATAAAGTGGGAACAGTAGCTTAGAGTGTGCGCTAAAGCACTTTATCTGAGATAGGGTGGCAAATGGGTACACTTCCTAAAAAGGCCATCAACGCAGTAAAAAGAACACTTTAATTAAATCTTAAAAAATATGCCTGAGTTGAGTGTACAACTATGTTTATTTGGGATTCATTGCCCACAATTAGAAAATCTATGTGGACAAAATGTATTTGGACAGTCTAGCTGTTGTTGTTAAGTGCTGTTGAGTCGGTTCTGACTCATGGAGACCCTGTATAGGGTTGCTGAGGTAGGTTAACAGTTAGCAGTCCAGTGCTTATCCTATAGCACCACACCAGGGCTCCAGTCTACCTGTAAGTCATGATATTTAGTACCATTTATATACAAACAATGCCAGTACCCTCTCATTTGTATATAAAATTCTTGGAGTTAAGTTGCTAAAATCAATCTGTATATATCGTATCATCTTTGTCAGTTTGCTTTCTCTGAGAAGCAGATACCAAGACAGAATTAAACATGCAAGATATTTATTGGGGCAATATCTGTGAAGGATAAAGGGGAAGAAAGAATAGGAGTAGGCAGGGAGAGAGCCTTCAGACCGGGATGCAGGTCTGTCCCTGTGAAAGGAGCATGTGGACAAGGAGGATGGGGCAGAAATTACCTCACACTGCTGTGTTGTTCTGAGAATATCTCAGCCAGGCCACTGTAAAGACTGCCCATCAGAGAAGTCTCAGGTCGGGCAGGAACAGTCCATTTCTGTTGTTGTTGTTGTTAAGTGCCGTCAAGTTGGTTCCAACTCATAGTGACCCTGTATAGGCTTTCCGAGGAGCAGCTGGTGAGCTTGGACCGTCAACCTTGCAGTTCAAATGGCTTTGCAAGTGTGGTGCATTAACCCACAGCACCATACCAGTCCAGCTCTAGTACCCACTTATTGCCTGGAAATATTCTGGAAAGAGTGTGGCCTTGGCATGAATTCTGTGTGGATCCCGGTGTGCTGCATCTGAGATATGGAAGGGAGGTCTGGGTGGTGCCCCATATGTCTGCCACCTCATCTCTCCACACTTGTAATGGTAGGAATTCAGGCTCTAATGAAACCATGAACCAGTATATATTTGTTGTTGTTAGGTGCCACCGAGTCAGTACCGATTCATAGCAACCCTATGCACAACAGAAACACTGCCCGCTTAATTGTTGCCACGCTTGAGCCCATTGATGCCGTCGCTTTGCCAATCCATCTCGCTGGCGGATTTATATATTTAAAAACACCAGATTCAGATAAGATGCTAAGTAATGGGGCAGTCACGATTTCTGGAGGCCAGCAGGTCTGTTTCAGAAACTTGACTCCATGCCGAGGAACCTTAGAAAATTAACTTATTTGAGTTTCAACTACCTTATCTTTAAAATGGGTGTAATAAGCATTCATATCTCATAGAGTTGCCATGAAGATTCAATGTGTTAGTGTGAGTACATGTGGAGTGCTTAGCACTGTGTGTTGTTCATAGGAAGCTCAGCCAATGTAAATTATGGTTCTGTTTCCAAACAGAGAGCAAACCTATACCTTACTATAAAATATATGGCACATGAACATTATTATTTTTTTAAGCTACAAAGGGCTTTTCTCCCTTCAGAAAGATAAAAGCAAGGCAAGACATTATCTACTGTCAGCATCCCAAGTGAAAACAGCATTATTTAAAAATTACTCTGAACGAGTACACTCTAAGCAGAGGAATATTAATATACCATTTAATACCAGTCTGAGGAGTTGTTTAAAAGGAGCTAATAGATCCTATCATGAAAATAGATGAAAAGAACTGTAAAAAGTGGCGGGGGTGGGGGGGAGAACAAGAGCTACAATAGGTACCTGACCCCCTGGGTCATTTGTCTGATAGAACACAGAGAGTTATACTAAATTACCATTAATGATTTTATTTTGAAATTCAACCTTTTCATTTTTTTTTTATCTCTTAGCTGGAATTACTTATATTATCATGCTCTGCTGGATTGAATAAGATGTATGTTTATTAAGTTGTCTACTCACAAGCTAGGGGGCAGGAGCAGTGTACAGTCCAGGAGTGAACGGGATTGTAATGGGTATGCACATCTTTGACAAAGAGCCTTTCCATGATTGGTGCATTGGCTGCTGGCCAACACTTCCAAGGAGCCCAGTATAAATAGCTGGAAAAAATGGGAGTCCACGTCTCCAGTTAGAATACCCATTATTTCCACTAGGGAACCCCAACATATTTGGGGGTTTCAAAAAGTTCATTGAAAAATGAAATTGAAAGATAATGGATTTTTTCCAGGAATAGGATAAGCGCTCAACCTCAAGGTCAGTTTGAACTGCAAGGTCAGCGGTTCAAGCTCACCAGCTGCTCCTAAGAAACCCTATACAGGGTCACTATGAGTTGGAACCGACTCTATGGCACTTAACAACAACAGCAGTATTGGGACAGCGTCCGAAGGTTAGAGGAAGAGGCTGGGGTGGGAGGAGGTTTTGTTTGCTGATTTCTGTGGCTGCTTTCTTTTAGGTCTGGGGCCTGTGCTAATGCCAACCATGGTGCAGCCTTAGCTGACCCTGAGCTAGTCATGTCTTCACAGTGCTGGTCCCTTTGGGAAGGATGCTGGCTAATTTAAGTGCTGGCCATCAGAAAGATCAGGGTCCCTAAGACTCAAGTGTGTTTAAATATGCCTTTCCTTTCCTCTTTCTTTTCTAGTTTCCGCTGAGCAACTTTGATCTTGCCTTAGAAAAGCTGAAGAAAGAAAAGTCAAAATCCAAAGAAGTCAAGCAAGTGTTTACAGCTATTGACTCTATGAACACAAAGATGGTGGATTATAATACATTCAGGTAAGCCGTCTTCTGCTAGCAATAATCTATTTCCCCTTTAAAGAACAGAAAAAGTAGTTTCTTCCTAATTCATTTAATATATGCTTTTTATTAGAGAATGACATTTCGTTGCGTTTATATTATTTTTGTGGTCACAGTTTGCTCATTAATCTAGTAAATTTTGTATATTTGCATATGAAAGAAATGTATAGGTCAGAACAGAGAGACTGACACATAGAGAGGTCATCGGTCACATTGTCTTATGAATCATGGTGTTGAAGGACCAGGAAAATACCAAGGAGGGAAGGGGGAACAATGCGGCTAGGAGTAACCTGCTGAAACCTGGGAAATAAAGGAGAAACATCTCCTTAGGAAGGTGATTAAATTGGAACAGAGTGGCAACTTTAATGGTCAGAGAAAAGGTGATCTTAGTTTCCTACTCTTGTGGAAACACAATTACCACAAGTAGGTGGCTTTAAAGAGCAGAAATGTGTTGTCTCACAGTTCTGGAGTCTAAGAGTCCAAATCAGGATCTTGGCCATGTGACTTCTCTCCTGGTTGCTGGTGACTACTGGCATTCCTTTGCTTACAGACCTCTTGCTCACATGTCACCTGTCTTTGCCTGTAAGTGTGTCTTTGCATCTGTTCTGTTCTTTTTTGAACTCAGAAGTGGTTAGGTTGAGGACCCACCCTATGCTGGTATGACCTTGTTTACTTTACAAAAAAAACGCCTGTTTCCAACAGTGTCACATTTTCTGGTCCAGGGTAAGGATTTCCACATACCTTTTAGGGGTAACACACGATTCAGTTTATAACAGGTTATATGAATGCATCTGTATGCATATCTGCTTATACAAATATGGATATTTTAAAAGACATTTTAAAATATAGGAATCTCAAAAACTATATCGTGACAGTAGTTAAAAATCTTCTAAGAAATCATAGAGAGTAAAGATTTTCCTGAAGGTAGAACTGAATTCTGGGATTGTCCAGTGGCTGACCTGGGCAAAGATCCAAACAATGGGTCTAGTACAATTGTGAGAGTCCTTAGCCTAAAAACAAAGTGAATGGAGCGTTCAGGAGAATGTAAATTAAATCATGGTTGGAAGACAAAGAGGACTTTCTCTTTAGGCTGAGAATTCTGGCTCTTGAGAACAATCGTGGCGGAAAGCTATACAGTAACTGTCGCTTGATGCAGTCAAGATGTGGGCCTGCCACATGAGAAAGTGAGCCCAAGAGAGAGCAGCAGGAAGGTCCTGCCAATTTTGTTTCTGGTGTTGCCTATTGCATCAGTAGTTGGTGACCTGGAGCCCAACATTAGGCCCAAGAGCTCAATTGGTGTTTCAACAAAGCTCCTCTGTGTCTCCAGAATATTCTTTGGGGAGGAGCAGTCAGAGGACATATTTTGATTGTTTAGAATTCCCAACCTTCTGGGATCAATAAGAATTTCTAGTCCTCTGTTATTATTCCTAGTAGCACACATGTTCATGGGCTTTTGGAAAAGAAAGAGAGACAAAGAGCAAAGACAATTGCTCAGGCCATGGACTAATGGAAAGCAGTGGATGAGCCAAAAAGAAATTTCCATCAGAAACCAAGTGGTTTTGTTTTATTATTTTGTGTCCTTTTACCAAAGCAGTCATTCTCCCAACACCCTAGTACAGTCCATTGGAAACACTTCAGTGAGTTTATGGGGTTCTTTGGGATGCACTTAGGCCAGGAAGGAGATCCAAGGAGAGGAAGTGTCTGCAAAAAAGAGACCTGACCCTGATTGCAGGGGGACTAAGTGGCCACCGCACGGTGGGATTGGAGGGGTGGCTTGCTCAGAAAGAACCAGTGCCCTAATCATTCTGCCCTCTCCTGGCCAGAAATTACTTAAGATGGAAAACAGATCAGTCCATGCCTGGCTTGAAAATCCTTCGGTGGTTTGCCATTGTCCTTACAATAACATCTAAACAGTTTACTGAAACCTACAGGGGCTTGAGGGATTGACTCTGATTGTGCTTCCAGCGTCATCTCTTCATTGTCTCCAGCTCTGTACTTTGGCCTTGGGAGTGTGGTGGCTCTGTAGGATAAGCACTACACTGGCAGTGAAGCACATGTTCAGTGGTTCAAACCTACCAGCAGTTTCGCAGGAAAAAGATGAGGCTTTCTGCTTCCACAAAGATTTACAGCCTCGGAAACCCTAAACATGGTTGCTTTCAGTCAGAATCTACTTGATGTCACCTAACAACAGCAATATACTTTGACCTCATTAGCTGTCTTTCAAACACATCACGCTCTTTCTTGCCTCCAAGTCTGTACCTGGAATGCCACATCACTTGTCCTTTCATGACAAACTCTAGGATGCAGCTTAAATGTTACTTCTAGACAGGGATCTTTTTGAACAGTCCTACGTAAAATTGTTCACCCACTGTTATTCTTGTTGATGTTGTTAGTTGTTGCCAAGTTGGTTTCAGCTCATAGTGACCCTATGCACAACAGAACAAAACACTGCCCGATCCTGCACTATCCTCACAGTTGTTGGTACACTTGGGTCCGTTCCTGCTGCCACTGTGCCAGTCCACTTCGTTGGAGGTCTTCCTCTTTTTCCCTGACCCTCCACTTTACCAAGCATTATGTCCTTCTCTAGGGACTGGTCTCTTCTGATAGCATGCCCAAAGTATGAGAGACACAGTCTCGCCTTCCTGGCTTCTAAGGAACATTCTGGATGTACCTCTTCCAATACATATTTATTTGTTCTGGTGGTTCATGGTGCTATTAATATTCTTCTCCAGCACCATAACGCAAATGCATCAATTCTTCTACAGCCTTCCTTATTCATTGTCCAATTTTCACATGCTTGTGGGGCTATAGAAAATTTATTCATGGCTTGGGTCAGGCATACCTTAGTCCTCAAGCTGACTTCTTTGTTCTTTAGTACTTTAAAGTGGTATTATGCAGCAGATTTGCCTAATGCCATATGTCATTTGATTTCTTGACTGCTGCTTCCATGAGTGTTGATAGTGGGTCCAAGCAAAATGAAGCCTTTGATAACTCTAGTATTTTCTCCATTTGTCATATGCTATTTATTTGTCTAGCAGTGAGGATTTTTGTTTTCTTTACACTGAGGTGCAATCCATACTGAAGGTTGTGGTCATTGGTCTTCATAAGTAAGTATTTTAAGCCCTCTTCACTTTCAGTAAGCAAGATTGCAGCATCTGCATATTGCAGATTGTTTTACTGAGTCTTCCTCCAATCCTGAAGGAATCCAATCCTATAATCATAACCCAGATTCTTAGATTGTTTTCTCAGCAGACAGATTGAATAAGTACGGTGAAAGGATCCAACCTTGATGCACATCTTTCCTGATTTTAAACCATTCAGTATCATTTCATTCGGTTCTAACTACTGCCTCTTGGTCTATGTTCAGGTTCCTCATGAGCACAATTAAGTGTTCTGAAATACCCATTCTTCACAATGTTATCCATAGCTTGTCATGATCCACACAATTGAAAGACTTTGCGTAGTCAATAAAGCACAGAACGGCTGGTAATTTTGAACTGCTGACCTTGGGGTTAGCAGCCCGACTTGTAACCACTGCACTGCCAGAGCTCCTCAATAAAGTACAGGTAATCATTTTTATGTTATTCTCTGCTTTCACATGTCCATGTCTTCTTCTGAATCCAGCTTAAACCTCTGGCATTTCCCTGTCAATATTCTGTTGCAGCCGCTTTTTAATTATCTTCAGCATAATTTTACTTGCATGTGATAGTAATGATATTGTTCAGTGATGCCCGTGTTCCGTTAGGTCTCTTGTCTTTGAATGATCATAAATATGGATCTCTTCCAATCAGTTGGCCCCTACTTTTTGTTTTGTTATTTTCCCCATAACACTTAACATAGTTTGCGATTTTATTTAGGTATCTGTGTTCTTGTTTTGTGTGTGTGTATGAATGTTTGTGAGTGTTTGTGAAATGTATGGTGGTAGAACCTCGAATGTCTTGTTCATTGCAGTGACCTCAGCAGCTTGCAGTGGGATCAGTATGTATACATTTTTACTGAATGAAATAATGGGCTGCTAGAGTTACTCTTAAGGAGCTCTGGTAGCATAGTGGTTACGAATCAGACTGCAAACCTCGAAACTACCAGCTGTCCCATGGGAGAAAGATGATGCTTTCTGCTCCCTTAAAGATTTACAGCCTCGGAAACCCTGTTACAGGGTCGCTGTGAGTCGGAACCGACTCTACGGCACCTAACAACAACAACAGAGTTACTCTTGGAAGTCCCTGAGTATTACAAACAAATGGTGTGCTCAGCTGCTAACTGTAAGGTTAATAGTCCAAGTCTATTCTGAAGCATCCTTTTGGCTATCTAATTCCCAAAAAAAATTAGCCTTTGAAAACCCTAGGGGGAGCACAGTTCTACTCTGACACACATGGACTTACCATGAGTAAGAGTGGCAATTGGTTTATAAATACTCTTGGAAGTTCTAGTTTGGATGTGGGCCACTGTCTCCAGATGAGAGGATGGCCTGCTTGTTGATCCTCTTATGTGCTTGGCCCACCCACATCGGTCCCCAGCACATGACCTGAAATCATCAGTTTGGGTCCTCACACTCTTTGCTTGGCAAAGGCAAAGCTCCTAACCAGCTTGTCAGTATCACAACACACCCTGATTTATTGCTCTTTTTGACTCTTTCATCAGCAAATACTTTCATTTCTTTTATTTATGTGTGTATGTATGCACATGTATTCTGGCTCATCTCACCAGAATGTAAGGTCATTGCATGCAGGATTCTTCCCTCTCTTCTTTTCTGCCTTAACCTTAACACTCATCACCAGTTGCTGTTGAGTTAACTCTAATTCATAGCAACCCCATGCAAGTTAGAGTAGAATTATGCTCCATGGGGTTTTCGGTGGCTATTGTTTTTTGAAGTGCCTCTTGCAGTTAGCAGTTAGCAGCCAAGCCCATTAACCAATTGTCCCACCATATGACTCCATCACTTATCACAGCAAATTGTTGTTAGGTGCCACTGAGTCGGT